AAAACGTCGTCATATGTCAGTAGACCAGAAACAGAGTGGTTTTTAAATTATATCCCATCTATAAGAAGGATACATAAGTAAGCAGCCAGGGCTAATAATGTTGTGGTTGTATATCGATGCAACCCAATGATCTTCAGAATTTTAAGGAATGATAAGAAACCATATAATCATAATTTGACCATGGGGATTTACTCCATCCTATTAATTGACCAACATTTCTAATCAAAAGTGGTCTATGTGGGTGTCACTATGTGTAATTTATGACAACTCAAAGAACACAAATACGCAATTGATAAAAATCTCGATAAGACGCTGGCAGCTTACTCACAACATCAGGACTTACAAGTACTGTACAATGGGAGCATGCATCCATCATCAGACCCACATCTAATATACACACTATGAGATATCTAGAAAAATTGGAAATTTTTAAAGCACACAAAAAATCCTGTTGCATCAACCATAGAGATCAGGACAGCTTATCTGCTGCATGTAAGTCCTTTTATCAAATTTAATTTTATTAAGGGACATTTATTCATTTATTTTTACTTTCTATTTTTTATTTTATTTCTGTAGTTATTTATTTTATTAATCTCAACTACGATTTCTGTTATTTATTTATTTTAGAATTTTTGTTATTGTTTTTAAAATTTTTGTATTCATGTTCTATTCTATCGTAACTGAAGGTCAGTGAAGCTGATCGAAAACATTATTATTTAGTAAATTTTATTGCTGGATTTTTTAAAGGTGTGATTTTTTTTTTTTTTTTTNACTAATAAAATAGAAAAATATTTTACAGTTGTTTCTACAAGAAAACATTTGGAAGTCTAACAGTTGTATATTATTTTGCTTATAAAGCCTCCAATGTCAGAGAAAATAAAAGTATTTTAATAAATTTTGCTTTATCATTGTATTGTCTTTTTCATAAAATCATAATAGTATTACAGCATCACTTATTCACATAACAGTGTTTATCAAACAAGATTATTAATTAGTTGAACTGTGATGGATTACAAATCAAAGTTTTTTAAAATTCATTTTATTTCATTCATTTAAAATTCATAAAAGTCATTTTAAAAATATAAGATTTAATTTTTCAAAAAAATCACAAATTCACATTCTATTTTTCATGTTATATTCTATCATAGCTGAAGGTAAGTGAAGCTAATCTAAAACGTTATTATTTAGTAAATATCATTGCTGGATTTTTTAAAGGTGTGATTTTTTTTTTTTTGTAGTCTATCTATCCAGTTGATACTAAAATGGAACAAAAGTGTGTGTGTGTTGATAGGTTTTTTTGTTGTCTTTGTTGTTGTTACAGTTTTTTTAGATTGATTATATATGTTAGGATTATCTGCGTGCACAATACAGTACAGAGTTTTAACCAATAAAACTGTAAAATTTTCTGAAAATACAGAATACAAAATTATAGATCATGTACTAAGAAAAGCATGAGGTTCAAATAAAGTACTGTATGTACAGGGTGGTAAAGAAAGTCACTTAATACCACTGCTACAGAATATAGAATGTACCCAAAGTTAATTTGCTCATGTCAGGAACACACTACACCAGGGGTGGCCAACAGTTTTTGCCCCCAGGCCGAATTGGAAAGAAAACTTTCCATGGGCCAAACCAGAGGCTGCCCTAGGAAGATTTTGAGGTGGTGCACGATCTCATTGTGGTGTCACCCCGTAGAGACTGAATTGTAGATAGAGATTACAGATACATTTTTTCACATTATCATGCTTTATCAACACTCTACGCTGTACTTACATGAGTTGTTGACTTTTTTTTTCTAAGGCGTCAGGAGTTTACATCCAGCTATTCGGACTTCAATAGCTAATATTCAAAGATTGATCGTGGGCCACATAAATTCATTAGACGAGCAGGATCTGGCCCAGGAGCCATATGTTGGCTATGCCTGCATTACACCAAGGGAGAAACAAATTGTTACAGGCAAGGCCATATTGAATGCAACTCTGAAACTGTAAACAAGAAGGGGGTCATGTGACTCCACTTAGGGTCAGAATTTCACAAAAAATTGATTGCTGAAAGATTTATTGACTTATTTCAAGTGGTTATAGTTATTAAATTAATTAATGTGTTTCCTCTGTTGTTACAGGTGTGAAGAACAGACAACACAATGTCCCTAATACAAAGAATGCATTAAAATTGTCCTGATGGCAGGGGAGAGAAGTTCCAGGGCAATTGTACAGGCTTGAACATTTCTTACCATGGACTGATCCAGCCTCCCTGAATTTCTGGAGTAGATTGGCAACTGCTATATGTGACACAGGCTCTCAGTGTGGATGACATTGATTAAAATTCTGTGCAATCACTTTTTTCTCCTGCCATCAGGTCGATTTCAATGTGTTCTTCTTGTTAAGGACATTGTGTTGTTTATTCTTCATACCTGTAACAACAAAGGAAACACATCAATAACTCTAACTGTTTGAGGTAGGTCAATAAATCTTTCAGTAATCAATTTCTTGTGAAATTCTGACCCTAAATGATGACACATGACCTCCTTCTTGTTTACAGTTTAGGAGTTACACTTAATATGAGCATGCATGTAAACCCACATCAATCTGTTTTCCCCTTGGTGTAATGTGTTTGACATGAGTGAATTAAATTTGGGTACATTCTATATTCTGTAGCAGGGGTGTTAAGTGACTTTCTTTCCCACCCTGTAGTTTTGACAAAGACGTATTTGTTTATAATGTCAAAATGTTATAATGTTTCAGGTAATGTTCTCTCTTAACAAATAGAAATTTTAATAATCTAAGTTAGAAAAGTGATGGTAATATTTTGAAAAATACTTAGGGATGGATGGCTGGAAGTAATGGATAAGGTTAACAAACAGCATGTTCAGTTGGTTCAATAATTGATGTGAAGTCATTAAAAAGAGATGAAATCAGTGTTGTTTCAGAATGAAATATAAAGTGGTTGCTTTAAAAAAAGATCAAAAGTGTTATCTCTATTTTGAAATATTCTTTTCCAAGATAGAGGACATCCTCTGATATGATTGTCTAGCACAAGTAGCATTCAGTTGTCCATATTTCATATAACTAAATTGAGGTTACAGACAAAAGACAGCTATCCACTTGTCTCTGGAAGATGAGAGAATCTTTGAGAGAAAAAGTTGTCCAGAATCACATTTTGGGAGAAGCAATGATCTCTTGAGATGTAAACAAATGTTTAGCCACTAGAAACCAGCTTGTGACATAGATAACACCTCTCAAAGATGAGATACAATGATCAGAATATGCCCCAGGAACACTTAGTACCTAGGAGCAGCTACTTTTAATAATACAGTAAAAGACATTGAGGTGCTTATGACTTTCTTGCAGAGAGCAATAAGCCATGAATATTTTGATAAAATATTTGATAGTTTAAAGGTTTTTATTACTTTATTTATTTGCCAAAACGTGTCTTCTTCTTGTTTTGTTTGGTTCAATGTCACGACTAGGTGAATTTATTGACACTTGGCAAATAATTTCATCATCAACTTTTAATCCATATCGATATGCATTTCGGGCTTTCACCCTTCTTCAGTTTGTTACATAGATAGGTTGTTTGTTGTGTACATCTGTCAGGCACCTTCCACACTATGTCTTTTCTCTCCCCTTCCCTTCCCTGCTGACTTATAGGCCTCCCCAGCATGCCTCCCAACATGCAACGTCTCACTCCCAGAGTGCCGCACACAACCTTGCCTGTGACTGTATAAACATTTTATTTTAATAGTTGTAACCAATATTTATGAATTTTAATGCTTAGATTCTTGTTAATATTATTTTTGTCTGTAGTAATTTCATAGCTTTCCTTAAATTTTCTTTTGTACCAATTTTTTTTCCTGTGGACTATTATAACGTCATTCTTATCTATTTTGCAGTTATGAGTTGTGCAATGTTCGTAAAAAACAGAGTTGATTCTATTATATTTCAAATCTGCGATGTGTTCTTTTAATCTTGTTTCTAATTTTTGTTTTGTTTCTCCAATGTATGCTTTTGGTGGTTTGCATGTGCAGGGTATTTTATAAACAACTTCAGTAGTGTTGTATTTATCTGGTTGTTTATTTATGCCAGGTTTAGCCTTTCAGATTCTTTTTTGCAAGTTGTTATAAGTTGGAGCTAGTTTTATATTTATTTTATCGAAACTTTTATTTATCTGTTCAAAGAAGCCACGAATGTAGGGGAAGGATATGTAACTTACTCTGTTTTTATCTTTATTTTGTTTATTTTCCAGCCTTTTATTGTTGATTTTACTTTCCTAGTTATTTATTATTCGTTGTGGATAGCCGTTTAATAGGAATTTAGTTTGCACTTCGTTAATATGTTTTTTCTTCTGTAGTGAGCTTGTTCTGCTCTTGATTTTTTTATACTCCATGATGAATATGTTTTCTTTTATGTACAGTGGGATGTTTGAATTGTAGTTTAACACTTTTCTAATCTCGCATGGTTTTGTGTATGGCTCGAATTCGATCTTCTTTGCCTTTTTTGGTTATTTTAATGTCGAGGTAATTTATTTCCATGTTTGCCTCATTTTCTTCCTTGAATTTAATATTATTGTTTAATTTGTTTATTTTTTCTTCTATTTCTTCTAATTTTGTTATTTCTTAGTCATATAGTATAATTATGTCATCCACATATCGTTTTTATTACTATTGTAAAGAAATAATGAATGTAAGCTTGAAAAAAATTAGGAAACTTTTTCATCTGATTTCATGTAATATTAAAATTATTTATTTTTAATTTTAATGTTTTGTCTGTCATAATAGTAATTTGTTACTGTTTTGACATGCAAATATTTTTATTTATCAAAGTTGTGTTATTTGAATTAAGATTAACTGAAATTTATAGATGCGTAATTTATCTTAAATATTAAAATATACAAACAAATTAATTTATGAATTTATATTTTATTGAATAATTACAAATATGGTTCACAATTATAATTGCTATAATAATATATTTTCTGACTTATTTAACTTTTTCCTATAGATATCGCAATCAGAGGCACTAGATCCACAATTGAGGGACTTTTTTAAATGTGCAGGTGTATCTGAGAAACACTTGGCTGATAAGCAGACAAGAAATTTTATTTATGATTTCCTCTCCAAAAATAATGTTATGAATGCAATTAAAGAAGTAAAACCAGCTGGTATGAAATGTTATTAGATATTAAATATTTTTTTTATTAACAGAAAAATTTTGAAATTTCATTTAGTTAAAATACATTCTACTTCTACTAATGTTAGAGATGTATCAGAAATAAAAAGGATAATTCCTAAGAAGCAATAAATTGTATATTATGCAGAGATTGTTTTACACTTAAAATCTTTTCATAATGTACAAAATACAGTAGATAAGAAATAACAAATATTAACCATACTGCTTATTGAGGTTACCAAGCATATACTGTAATTAAAAACGTTTTTGGCTCATTTACAGCCATCTTCATCTCCACGTAAAACCAGTTTTAAATTTAAAGAACGACAAATAATTTAATATTATGTTCTAGATAGCAGGCTTTGACTAAAAGAACAAAAATATTTAAGTTAAGCCTTAGAGCAGCTCAGTTTATATTATAGATCTTTTATTTTTTTAAATTTTATCATTTAAGTAAAATTGCATAAGATTTCTTAAACAATAACAAAGTTTTAAAATTTTAAAAATAATATTGTAAATTAAGATAAATATTTACACATAAGTATTACTGTATAAGTTTAAAATTCTTACAAGTATCAATTTTTTAAATTACTTGCATATTAAATTTATTCTTTTTCTTTTAATACTCCATTGACGAGTTTTTTTACATTGTTTTGTCATTGTTTCTCTTTGATGTTAATGATATTGATGCTTTTAGATAGTCTAAATGTCTATTTGAACAAGTATTCTGGTGGTGCTTTGTGCTCTACACTCTTCAATAAGGGCTGGCCTGTCTCTGTGCACCATAACTTCTTTTTGCCTTGTCTATTGAACGAGAAATGATCGTATGCTCATAAGCTACTGAATTAAAATATTCTTTAGTTTCTTTTAGCAACAAATCTGTTTGTTGAGCCAATGTAAAAATGGGATTTTTTGTGCTTAGATAGCCTTAATGCATAAATCCCTGATTTAGATAGCTTACTAGTTTGTCACTGTGTAGAATACTGCATGGAGAACATTTAATATAAAATAACCCCAACACATGGAGATGACAAAAAAGAACATCGATGGTGTTTGAGGTGGTTTTTTTAGCACACATTGTCTTATTTGACTATATGTGGGTTGTAGTTGATGTTAAGAAAGCTAACAACTGTTATAGCTTTCAGAAGTGGAAATCATTGAATATTGTTGGTAAAAAGAATAATTTTTATGCTTTAGGTAATCATGTGGGTGCCTAACTTTTTTAACCAGTCAGAAAAAAAAATGACATCAACCATGCTTTTTTCTTTGTTACACATTCTGTAACACCTTGCCATTGTAGAGACACTAAGACTTTAAAATTTTCTAATTAATAACGACAACAGTTATTTTTACTTGTTATATTTGCTTTCAAAAGAAGAGTTACATGTTTGTTTGTTTTCTTTTGTTTATCTCTGTGACATGAATCACCTTTGAACACTGTTGTTTTGTTTGGTGGAAATTTAAATACTAGTTGTTTTTTGTTTAGGTTTAAAACATCATCCAGGCTATAGTTTATAATTTTTGTTAAATTTTTAGCCAGTTTTTGCAATCTTCTTGCACTTCTGCATATTCACCACAACCACTTGCTGCTTGTTTTGATCCAGTATGTCCCAACTGTTGTCTGAACTGTTCATTTGTTTCTCTAACAAGGGCACTACTATATGGTCCTTGGGGATTTCAATAACATTGCTTGTGTGATAAACCTTTATTGAGCTAACAAAGAAGCATACTTCTCAAAATGTTTTTAAGAAAATCAAAGTTAAAAAATAAGCAATTTATGAATAAGTTTTGCAGAATCTTTCATTGAAGACTGCATGGTTCAGTGGCAGTGTGCTTTACTCATATTTGTGAGATCATTGGTTTGTGTCTCAATGAATAAACTTTTTCAAATCAATGCAACTTTTATATAAAGTAATTGTAAATTTTATGGGTTTATACATTTTGTTTGTTTTATTTTGTATTAAAGATTGAATTTTTGCTTTTTTGAAAATTTATTTTTATAATTGTCTGTTTGAATTTATTTTTAAGTTTTTTCAAAACTTGAATAATTAATTATTCTATAGTTTGATTTTATTATCCTTATTTAAAATAAATTGAAGACATAATATGTCTGTCTGTTTTATTAATTATGAAAAGATAATATACATATACTTTTTATATAAACAATAAGAAACCAGAGAAGTGACATTGAAAGATGATTGTTTACTGTCACATATAACAATTCAGTGTGATATTGAGAGTTATAACTAGTAAGTTTTTAAATTTATTTAATTAATTAATTATTAAAATGTCAAATCATTCATAATAATCATAGATTCTTAAATGTAAAAAACTTTAAATCAAGGTTTAACAGATGGCAATTCCAAAAACAAATTTTCAAAGAAGAGAAAATGCACATTATTAATACAAAATAAACAGACAGAATGTATAAATCCATGTAATTTACAATTATTTTGTGTAAAAATTGCTTTGTTTTGAAAAAACTTGCTTAAGAAATGTAAATCAATGATCTCTGAAATATGGATAATGCATGTTGCCACTGAATCATTCAATCTTTAACTAAATCTTCTGCAAAATTTACTCATAAATTGCTTGGAACTTTTTAACCTCAATTTTCTTGAAAATGATTGAGAAGCATACTTTTATCCCTTTGTTCAATAAAGGTTTCTACCAAGGCTTATCCATAAAAACAATATCATTGAAATCTTGAGGCCATGTTCCCTTGTAAGAAGTTTTACGATAGTACAAATATTCTTGGTTCTAAACTGTACTGTACAAATCATTTTGATATGTACATTTCAGCATCTGATACTCACATTTACACTTGCTTTTCTGTTCTATCTTATTCTGTTCAGTGAAGCTTTCCAAAATCTTTTTCTTGTTTTTCAAATATGTGGTGAGAATACTCAGTGGAATGTCAAATTCTTTTGCAGTTTTTGATTTTACTTTCCCAACTTTGTTATATATAAAAGTATAACAATTGTTCAAAGAAGACTTTTACATTTTTGAACTCTGGGACCTTGAAATGTTGAGAAATTCAAAAAAATTCAGAGTTTTTTTCCCTTTATGTATGATGTTAGTGTATGTGTGGCACAATTTTGTTCGCCCTCTTTAATATATATGTTAAAGATATGTTGTACTAACCTTGCAGTTATTACTTAAAAACATAATACAAATGTTTTTGACCCACTTCTAGGGTCTTTCTGAGGTGTTTTACAAGTTTTTCTGGTGTGATTCCAATTTTTAATCATTCTGAAATTTTAAAAAATAAATTTCAAAGATAGAAGCATTAGAGACCTGAACAGTTAAAAATTGGAATCGCACCAGAAAAACTTGTAAAACACTTGAGGAAGACCCTAGAAGTGGGTCGAAAACATTTGTGTTACATTTTTAAGTTGTAACTGCAAAGCTATACAAGGTTAGTATGACATATCTGTAATTATTGCTTTGTTTACTAGATGGATTTGATTGAAACTTAATAATTCCTGTGCTTTTCAACAAAAATTTCTGAAATTTTGCAGGGAGGTTACTATATTAGGAGGATTGATGCAATTAAATTTTGGTTGACGGAGTGGGGAGATAAAGTGGGTTGTGTGTCGTATCTCAAGTAGGGTCAGACATAATGATGATTTTACTAATTATTAAAGGAGTCTGATATTAAAAGTACAGGCCAAAATTAAGCTAACATTTTATAATTAAAGAAAATATTTAATACATTCCACAAAAACTACATACTTTTGTTTATTTTTTGACATAATTGCTGTAAAAGTTTAGACATTTATCCTAGTGTGACAGTAGTTTGAATATCCCTTCATGGTACTGTTGTACTGTTGCCTGTCAAGTTGCTTGAAGTAGTCCAGAACTGTGTCTTCCAATTCCTCCTGATCTGCAAAGTGTTTCCCCACAAAAACTTTCTTTAAAGGTCTGAATAAATGAAAATCCGAGGGGGCCTCAATCTGTACTATATGGAGGATGTTGCAGGATCTCCCAATTTTGCTGTGTCAAACACAGTTTGGTTTGATTTGACGTGTAAAGTATAGTCCAGATTTAGCCTCCTTCAGATTTTCACTTATTGGACCTTTAAAGAAAGTTTTTGCAGGGAAACACTTTGCAGATCAGGAGGAATTGGAAAACACCATTCTGGACTACTTCAAGCAACTTGACAGGCAGCAGTACTGTGAAGGGATGTTCAAACTACTGTTACGCTGGGATAAATGTCTAAACATTTACGGCGATTATGTCGGAAAAATAAACAAAAGTATGTAGTTTTTGTGGAATGTATTAAATATTTTCTTTAATTATAAATGTTAGTGTAATTTTGGCCTGTACCTTTAATATCTGACTCCCCTCGTATTTACTATTAGCATTTACAATTTTTTTATAAAATTCATTCCTACACTCAAAATTAAGTTTTTGCCATTTTATAATAATTAAAAATATATAAGTTTTTAAAATAAAATATTGTAACAGATGACACCATATGCAGTTGAAATTTGTACAATATGAATGTTAAGTTTTAAATCAGGAGATACAGATAAACTTGATTGGTTGATAATTCAGTAAGTTGTCAAATCACAGATAGGTTAGTTATATTTTTTCATTTTCAAAATCAAAAAGTTTAAAAAAGACTTGAAAATGCTGATTTAATTGACCAATTTGCATTTAAGAAGAAGATTGTTATTTTAGGCATAAAATGTTGCTAAAATTTTGAATTTTGTTATGGAACCAGAGATGCCATCTTATACAATATGAATATTCAATTCTGTGATGATAATATCCATCCTCTTGAAAATACAAAAGAAAACACACAACATTAGATCTGAAATAGTCTTTTGATCTTAAATTTTGAGTAGCAAAATGTCATCTCAAAACTACCATGACCTTACAGAAATACAGATGCATTAAGTCAGTGGAAATTGGGAGAAAAATAAAAGTTGAGTTACAAAAGTTTAACTGTTGACAGTCTATTGTATATAAATTTCTGTAATAAGAACAGTTTTATTAACAAAAGTTTACAATGAGAATAAATTTTTTTCCAATATACTGAAATTTTTAAATATAATATTTATATTACACATATTTATATTATTTACATTAAGGAGTGTATAATTATTTATAATTACATGAAGGAATGCATGTGGCTACATGCACATTGCAGGACCGATAGAGGTGACAGAGATGTGCAAATGATTATAAGAACGAACAAACAGATATGCAACAGATTTTTTATTCAGTAACGAATATGGCCCACTCAGGCAGCTATACAGGCTACTATATGGCAAGGCATACTATCAATGAAGCGATTAATGGTTGCCCAAGGTATCCCTTGCCAAGCTGCATCCACTGTTGCATGCATGTCAACTACAGTATGTGGCAGTAGTCCTTGGTGAACCTCGTATCGGATGAGGTCCCACAGGTGTTCGGGAGAGAGATCTGGGCTATCAGTTGGGGAAGGATGCAAATTCTGTTCGGGTTAATGAGAGTTTGTCTTACAACATGCAGTCAGGCATTGTCTTGCTGGAATACCATGTTGAGTGCAGCCTGCATCAGTGGCTGAACCACTGGTTCCACAATTTGCATGACATACTGGTTTGCTGTCAGAGTATCAAAAATGTGCACCAGGGCTGTCCACTGATTGAACATGATGCCCAATGTGTGGCCTGTGCGATGCTCAGTGAATAGGGCTAGCATGTAGTGTTTCCCAGATACTGCCACACCCATCCTCAGCTATCTTTCTTCCACAAGCAGAAGCGGGATTCATCTGTAAACAATACCTGATGCCATTCAATGGTACAGTTGTCATGACGATGACTACACAAGGCATGCAGTCCCATATCAAGCAGTTAATGGCACCCCAGTTGTCATGCATGTGGCCTGTCTTCATTCCTGTTGTATATGGTTTGGGTGGACAAAGATGCACCCATTGACGGCGACTGGTGGCTTTGGATGTCGTGCCATGGCAAATTGTTCCAATGGGTGTTTTGACAAAGTTGCTGATCTGTGCACTCTGTCTTGTGACAGTGCAATTCACTCCACTTTGGCATATTTGAGTGTTCCTACATCCATCATGTCACATATTGCTGGATGGTACTCATGTCGTGCCCAACACACGATAACTGTGCGTATTAACAAACCAAAATCATGCAGCTCCAGGATATGGTCTTGTTCCCCAGCCATTAACTGATGGTATTCAGCTCACTGTCATCTATGAGGCATTTTCTATGATTCTTTGAAAGTTTGACTGCCACAAGCAATTGCCAGTAGCATTTAACACCCAAACTGCCTGCTGGTCTTTATAGCCCAAAACTGGATAGCACATGACCTGTTGCTTATACAAACTTAATCATTTGGATATCAATGTCACCTACCAGTCCTACAGTTTGCATTTTTTTGTGGTATTACCATTTAACTTTTGAGGAGTTTAAATTGATATCATTATCATATATGAGTTTAAATCATTAAACCAGGTAATAAATTATACTATTAAAGTTAATATAGTATTTTAATACTTTTTAGGTCAACCTCCTCCAGTCCCTGCCAGAGATGTTTCTGCAGCACATCATCAACCAAGTCCCGTACCATCAACACGGGCGGCTGCACCGGCATTACCAATGCGAAATGCTGCTCCACCACCACCTGTTCCACCCGTACCTCCAAACAGAGGTCCCGCCATACCCCCACCACTTCCGCCAAGCAATAAACCTACTTCGTTATTAATTTCAAATACTACTCAACCCCCACTACCTCCAACATCCATGCGTGTCCCACCTCCTCTTCCTCCCACTCCGCCAGTACCCTCAGCACCCACTTCTGCTCCTCCACCTCCACCGCCACCACCGCCTCCTCCACCACCGCCGCCTCCTCCTCCTCCAGATACCTGTCCTTCAGCTCAGAATAATGTAAATAATAGCAAAAGTAGTTTTCCAATTTCAGATGCTAGATCAGCTCTTTTAGAAGGTATTAGAAAAGGTGTTGCATTAAATGTAAGTATATATTAAAAAAATTCATTCGTTTTAATTTTGTTATAATCTTAATTCTAACATAGCATAAATATTTTAAAAATTTATTTATTGGGTTGTTTGGAAAGTACTTTTGTTGTTTTTACCACTAGACGGATTAGTCATATTTTTTTCGTCATTTTCATTCTAAACCATATTATCATTATATATTTTGACAGATAGCATTTTAAGGCTTATTTGTAAAAAGTTTTGTTTGATTTTGTGCAGTTTTTATTTTTTGTGTCCCATCAAATATGGAAGATCAAAAGCAGCATTTTTGTCATATTTTGCTCTTTTATTACCGAAAAGGTAAGAATGCTGTTCAAGCGAGAAAAAATGGTGTGAAATATATGGAGAAGATGTATTGGCAGAATGACAGTGCCAAAACTAGTTTACAAAATTTTGTTTTGGCAATTTCAATATTGAAAATGCACCACGTTCTTGATGGCAAGTTGAAGCCAGTGAAAACAAAATAAAGGTACTGATTGAAGCAAACTGCTGAAAAGCAACACATGAAATCACTAAGAGATTAAATTTGTCAAAATGAACTGTTTATGATTACTTGAAACAAATTGGTTTCATTTCAAAGCTTGATATATGGGTTCCACATGTTCTTAAAGAGAGATGCTCTCTTTGGTGGGATTCGAAAGTGTACTGCCATCGAGTAAACAAATTAATATCGTCAAACAGAAAAGGCGGCCAGAATTGATCAACAAAACAGGTGTAGTGTTTTACCACGATAATGTCAAATTTCACACAGGTTTGGTAACTCGTCAGAAACTGTTATAACTTAGATGGGACGCGCTATCGCACCAACCATATTCGCCAGATCGAGCACACTCAGATTATTACTTGTTCCAGTTTATACAAATTTTTTTTAACTGTAAGATATTTACTTGAAATGACAATGTCAAAAATCTTGGATCAGTTTTTTGTAAGCAATGATCAAAACTTTTATGAATGTAAAATCATGCTACTACCAGAAACAATGACAACAGGTATTTGACCAAAATGGTCAATATATAATTTAATAAAATATTTATTTATTATAAAAATATTGTGTTTTTTTCCATGGAAAAAATACGAAATTACTTTCCGAACAACCCAATATATTCCAAATACTTCAGAATAATTCAATGAATAACTTTTTCTTGTTTTTGTTAAATAACTGAAAATGAATTCCAATAGTTAAATTGAATTAGATCTCATTGTGTAATATAAAGTATATTTTTCTTGTAATAATTTTTGAAATAAGTTGATTGTTCAAATATGTGAACAATAAATTATTAAAGGATTAATGAACAAAATGTACAGTCCCTAGCATATTATACGAACATTTTCAAAATAATGTCATAGTGATGTACAATTTATTATTATAAACTTATTTTGATAGTTGGAATCTATTAACATATTATGGAAAAGTTTTTTATTTTGAACGATTGATTATTACAAAGGACTGATCCTTTTTGAGAAAGATAACAATTCAGACCAATTTTAAAATATGCCCAAAATATAGTTGTGCACCATTATTATATTAAATAAGAAAACTGAAAGAGTGTGTGCTTTACCATTCTCTTTGTAATCTATACTTTTATCAATATATTTCATGTTTTTCATGAACTCAAAGCACATTTAACAAGATAGAGATATTACATAGAAAATATATAAATGAAATCCTTCAGTACATTGTACATTGGAAATTGAATAGTTTTATCTAACATGTTATTTAATTTGATTAATATGTTTTTAACCTGAAACTTCTTTATTATTCAAAGGAAAGGAAAATTTATTTCTGGTGTTCAATAATTTGTTTTACTGTTGTTTCATTGAATTCCAATTTAATTCTTTCATTGCAGTAAAATATTTAAAGTTTTATGCATATTTTGTAAATGGATCAAATAACTGAATACATCCTGAAATTTAAGATAATATTAAAGGAATAATATCACATTATTATAATGTTAAAACACAAACAAAATTTATGCATTGCAATCAGCTTATTCTTGAAATATTTAAGAATAGCTTAAAATAAATACAAAAAATTGAAGTTTGATATAAAATTACATTCATAATTTTCTGGGTTAGTGTATAAAGAATGAAAATTAACATTACAGCGTCATGGAACTTTTAAAAATATATATTTTATTTCAAAGAGTATTGATATGTATTCTAACTCCTTGATAATACAAAGAATTGCAGTACAACACATTTTAATAGATTAAGACTTCTTATTACTTCTTAATCTGTTAAATAAGTTCAATACATTCAATTTTTTTTTCATCAAGGAGACAAAATATGTCTCAGTACTCACTTCAGCTAAGTAGGAAAGAAAAACACAGAACCAGTTAAATGTCTGTTAATAGATGAACAATTTATGTTTTTTAAAACTAGTACTAAATGAATCTTTTCTATGAGTATTTTTCATATTTTTTTAATAAAAGTTAATATTGTTTTTGAAAAAATTCTTTTTTCAAAAGAATTAAAAAAAGATTTTTAATGGAATGGATATAAAATTAATTAATTAATTTAACATAAGACTAGTGAAACTCGCATTTTTTTTCTTTCCCAATATCCATATTAAATCAGAGAGAAAGATTTAAAAAAAAAAAAAGCTATTTCATTCTTTTCCTTTATAAACAGAAATGCTGATTGAACTGATTGAAGAAAATATTAATGTGATTTTTGATACTTTCTAAAGATTGAAATTGTATATAATTTAAATTATTCTGCAACAAACAAAAAAGATGATAGTCTGAGGGAACAATATATGGAGAATATGGAGGGTGACTCAAAACATCCCAGTTAGTCTAGAAGTTCTTGGTGCACATTCAATATGTGCAACCTTGCATTATAATGATGGAATACCACTCCCCATCAATTCTAAGTTCCAGACTTTGTGATGTGCTACAGCCTTCAGTTCATCCAGTTGGAGACAATATGTATTGGAATTAATTGTTTGGTTGTTGTTTAAAAGCTTGTAATAAAGAACCCCTTTCCAATCCCACCAAACTGAAATCATTACTTTTTCTGGATGCAAACCAGCTTTTATCTGGCTTACTCTAAAATCTCTTGCATCAAATATTGTTGTAAATAATCCATTTTTTCATCACCTGTTATTAATCACTTTAAAATTGGATCATTTTCATTGCATTTTAAAAGTGAATCACAAACAAACATGCTCAATAAGGTTTCATTCATTTAACTGATGGGGAATCCAAACATAACAGGAAGTGTTTCCAAGAATAGTCAAATGTCTGACAACAGATGTTTGGGATGTTTTTAAGGTGTCTGCTCTCTCTCGTGTTGTTCTATGCTGATCATTTTGCAAACCAATTCTGGCATGTTCAATCAGTAACCGCATCTTCCCCATATACAGCACATATCTTCTTTTGAGTTTTTATTGCATTTTTTCCTTTTTGAAATTAAGAAGGTACATTTTCAACATCTCATGCTCTATTATCTTCCATTTTAATGTTTGTTTCTTAAAAAATAACTGTAATTAGACTTATGTATTAAATATGCAAATATTCATAATTCCAACCTAGAGAAGTTAAAACTTGATCAACATGACAGAGATGACACAAACAAGTGATTATGTAAATACCTGAACAAACTTTCGGTTCAACCCTATATTTTAATATTACTGGTATAAATCCACAATTATTCTCTTTGCAATGAGAGAACCATGGAGACTGATATTTTAACCAAATGGCTGTTTCATGCTCCTTCATTCTTGCTCCCAATGTTTGTTTAGTTTCTCCTAACCCTTCCAGAAACTTTTTTATCTCCAGTAAGGTACTATATACAGGTAACCCCCATATAACATGGGAGTTACATTCCAAAAATTAAAAAACATGCTGTTAAATTCTTATTTAAATGGTTTTATTATTCATTTTTTTTTCATAGGTAAAATACTTATTTATTATTTGAGTAAATATTTTACCAGAGGATTATTCATCCTATATGATGATCTCAGCATGAGCATCATCAACTGTAACGGTTTTTAGGTGTGTTCGTTAATAGTGATTGCTCTGCAATCGGAGTGCGCCGCTGTTTGTAGGCATTTAGGAATGATGGTGAAAGAAAGATGGTGGCACCTGCATTATCAATAGTATCGTGATGGAGGAATCTATAATTCTAAAATGAGCTTTTAGAGGCAAAAGAAGGGTCCCAATTGTAAAATTTAAGCATTAAATGAATTATTTGTTGAAAGAGCATTCAAAGTAGCCACGAAAACAATTAGAATGCTCGTGCTGGGTTACGCGGAGGTATAAAAGAACACACCCTTTATTACATTTCATGTTGTACAAGGGTTTTACCCAATTCTCAAACCATGTTAGAGTGAATCTGTGCTATAGAAGTGCCGTCTTATACAGGGGTTACCTGTATTTAGATGCAAGAACAAACGTTTTCAAATCTCTATTGAGATCTGCTTCAGGTTCAATGTTGTTATAACTTTGGAAAGCCCAGTGTTCAAATTTTAAACTGCCAATTAATCAGTTAGTTTCTCCTATATGATACATTTCTTCACTACAAGTACAATTTAACTTATACACACCTGAAAAATTTACATTTTGCAATTTAATTTGATCATCATATATTAAAATTCACTTTATTCTTTAACTTTGCAGCTATATCAAATTAAAAATTTTTTTATTTGTTTTAAATATACCCTGTATATAAGGAAAATATATATATTAATATTTATCATCCTGTTAATATGAAAACACTTGCAGGCAAGATTTATATTACAAATAGCTATTTGTGTAATACTTTATTAGCAATAGAATAATAATTAAAAGATTTATCGTGGATTATTACATTCGGATTTGTAACTTTTTATAATTGCTGCAAAAGATACTCCACTCAAATTGTATCTGAAGAGGAAGCTTCTCACTTTTGAAATGTATAACAATGCCAAATAAATAAAGCTTCCAAAGTTTTTAAGATGTATTCACACCAACCTAAATATTTAATTATTATAACAGCTAGAGCCATATTAAATTTGAGCTGTCTTAAGGCTAGTTATTAGTGATTGATTAAAAAACATAGTTTGGTTTAAAGGTAAGTGATTAGGCCACCATCTTAACTTAATTTATAATTATTAAATATAAGACAGTTTAAAAGATTTTGGTAAAAAAAAATATTGATCCAGAGTGGGGGCTTCAACCAACAGCTTCTATTTACCTATTATGTGCACTATAAATTACTATTCAGACCTGGTAGTGGGACCAGTTTTACAGGAATATCACTTAGACATGTAATCACATGAAAACAGTTGTTGCATTGATATAATACCATAGATACGTGGTTCTCGTTAGAGATGTACCCATTAATAGTTTGCTAATTGTTAATCATTTGCTAATAAGTTCCTCCAATAATCATTCCATTGGAAAAAACATTAATAACTTTAAATTTAAAAAGTAGTAAATTATTATAAAGTAAAAATGACTGATGTTTAAAGAAATGATAATTATCAATAATAATGTTTCAAAATAATTGTGGTGACACATTCAGTTTCATTAAATGTTATTTTATTAATTACATTGCATTGCAGTAATTGTGACATAAATCAGTTAATTTATCAGTTATTAATGAAAAAATGTGACTGCCAGAAATAGCATTTATTGCTCAGAATGGCATCAGTATAGAACTGCTAAGAAACATATTAATTCAAAATGTTATTTTGAATTAATACCAAGAAACTTATTATAATCAAAATTATCACAGTAAATTAAGTTATTAGTAAATTATCACAGTACAATCTTCAAATGAAATTGTCCAATGTTTAGTTTGGTTTCAGTTGGACACCAGACAAGACTCATAAAACAAGGCAGTTTAGCTCAAATTTGGACAGTTGGCAACCCTAGCTATAATGGGTGAGTTTGGTTAATTATATTAGTCACTCAAGAATAGAAAATGATCTGCCTGGGCATTAAGGGAACTGAGGAAGATAGCGTGCATAGTGTCCAAGCATTTTAAATTTAAGAATCCCACATAGTTGATGAATGTAATTATTTATGTGTCAGTTGTGTCAATCACATAGTCAATTATGCAGTTCTTCTTAGTTTAATTAAGCATCAGGGATGCAGCCCTGCTAGAATGCAATACTGACAGGATGTTAACTAAGCAAGAGACTGATTTCCCTTATTAATTTCCTTACAATCCATAATAAACATAATTTATTACAATACCATGCTGTTTGCTTGCTAGTACATTGAATAAACCAATAGGGATTTCAGTGTTTCTTGCTGACCAATAGTGACAGGAAAAAAAACAACAAAACAATCAGCCTTTTTTCTTTGTGTACAAATCAAATATCTGACGGGTGAATAGGGTTTGATGGACATTTTGCCCTTCCAGTGTCAGCAAATTTCACTGAATAATTAGCAGTCACACCACAAAAATATACCTATATACAGTGCATGCATGCATACATCTATTGGAGTATACAACAGTATAAAGAGGAGGCTTGAGAGAAGGGAGGAGGGGGCACTTTGATGAACTATCAAAATCAGCTTCCATGTCCCACACCCAAATGATGGTTTTGATCTGATTTATAAAACTAATATAATAGTAGTAACCTAATTTTATCAAGGATAATTTATGTAATTTAATTTTCAAAATTTTCATACAACTTTACACCATAAGTATAGTACATAAAATAAATAATTATTTATATACTGTATTTAATTGACAGGTACTAAGCAAAACCACAATTACAAATGGTTAAACTAAACTGAAAAAGGCTGTAAAAAATTAAATTAAAAGAAATTGAAATTTTGTCAGCTTTTTAAACATAAAGATTAATTAATAATTAATCGTAAGGTTAAACAATCCCGATTAATTAATCGTTCATCGTAAGGTTAAACAATCCCGATTAATTAATCGTTCATCGTTAATCGGCTAACTCGATAATCGTCTCATCTTTTGTTCTTGTGACTCTCAAGTACAGTACAATAACTTTAAGCTTTACCCCACCATGTTACACATATAGCTATATTCAAATCAGCCTCAGCAACTTTTAAAATTATTAATTAAATTTGTTAAATATAATAAATTGTAAGATGATTATTAAATTAAACAAGATGATGGTCTAACCTCCTACCTTTAGGCCAAATTGTATTAATCAATTGTTATCAATGCCTTACGATAGCTCGAATGTCATCCGGCCGTTGTTTTTGCTAAAATTTGTCATACGCTGGTTTAATTGCAAAGATTTAATGACTCATTCACGTATTGCACAATTCCTCAAGATATCAAACGAGACATTAAGATCGCAAATCTAAGTAACATTATATTCAAAGAAACCTCTGCTTGATAATTTTGAGAATTCTTTAGTCGTATATATGTAGTACTGAAGAGGGCCATTGGGTTTTTAAAATGCGTTGGTACAGAAAGAATTAAATACATTTTCCAAGCATGTCGGTGGACTTTGTCTAGCAGTTGGAAATTAAAAATTTATTTATCCTCGTGACAATTTTTACCATCTTCCACGTATCTGTAATGTTCATATCATTTTTCAAATATAAAAGATTGGAATGATGAACGCCATTTCCGGCGAATCCTTCAAAACATTAAATTAATAAAATAATAATAATTTTAAAAAATATATTCTAAACATTTTAATGTTTATTCTACAAAAGCACGTGGATGTCAACGAGGAGTCTGTTAAAGTATCATCGCCAAATGACAGAAGTGCACTTCTAGACGAAATACGTCAAGGCATAGAGCTCAAACCGGTAAGTGAAAAATATTCAACATAGAACGATCTGCCATTTTCTAAAAGTATTTTCAAATGCTAAGTTAATAATCATTTATATTTAACTCTGTGTTTTTTAAACGACAGTATTTGTCATTCGCGTGATGTAATTCGATTAAACTTTAAAAAAGGCGATTAAATCTGATGTCAAAACGTACAGTTTCAATAGTAATTATTAAGTGCCTAAAACACGTACTGTTTATCCAACTAATTTATCTCAATTATTAATTTAATAATGTCGAATATTTTATGATTTAGGTGTCTGAAGAAGTTAGGAATGCGCCCACTTCTGCTCCTTTAGAGGGACTAGCCGGAGCTTTGGCGCACGCTCTTCAAGAACGTGCTCGAGCTCTGCAAGAAACAGGCGAGTATTGTCTGATTTAATAAAGTTCGGTCAAACTCCACGAATATAAAGTCGAAGGTAGTTTTTTTATACTCTCTGCCCTGTGGGCACTAAGAGAGCTTCTTATAGCAGGCCCATTATTGATTCGGCCGGGCCCGCAATGGGGCGACCGGGTGGTGAAGGACGGGGCCCGACATATCCGAACGGACCACCCCCCGAAAATTTTCTGGGATTACTCGACCCGTCCGGATTCGATCCCAGGTCTTCCAGAGCGGTAGGCTTGACCGCTCGGCCATCCGGTTTCTGTCGAAGGTAGTTAAAAATTGTCACTTTGTTTAATAAACACTTTATAAAAAAAAAATTAATGGTCAACCGTCAGATGGAAAAGGTCACATTTTCTCCAGTTATTTCACCACCCTTTATCTTATTTAGATGGGTTTAAAAATAAATAAATTTGTGTATTGGTCCAAACAACAGTTTATTGAGATACAGTGGCTTAAGAAAGTATCGGACGGCCCGTTTTCTTGGATTTCAATGGAAACAGTTGGTTTTAATTTTAAATTTCGACGTTGACTCCGACTCGAAAAATTACATACACCTTTATATTCTGCGCTTCGCATGCAGTAACAATGCCGAACGACACCGGAAACCGGAAGTTAACGGTGGTTAGGAAACCTTCGATTAAAAATTTGTAGTTTTACGAAATAGTTCTCATTTTTTATCGCTTTAATAACAAATAACTGAATTATAATATTTAATATTGTATTTAGACGAAACAATTCAATTATTACGTTTTCATTAGCCGAAAATATACTTAAATTTTGAATGCGCTTAGAATGATGTAGTCGAGTAATTTATTTTGTGAACTGTAAAATACACAAAAATAAATTTAAGCAAGTTTGGGAAGGTCAAAGTAGAACTTTATATTTTGTATGTTGCAGACGATAGCGATTCGGAAAGCGACGAAGACGACGACGAATGGGAAGATTGATTTTAGGATTTCGAGTAAGGTTTGTAGGCGAGATCTGCCGTACTTAAAACTTTCGGCGGCCATCCGCCGTCAGTCTTCCCGTTTTTTCCCAGAGCGGGCAACGGACGAGTTGCCCTTACGTGCCAGAATCCATTTTTCTCCAACGAGAATTCGGAATAAGATTTCCAACATCGATTTGGGTTCGGATTTTTCGCTCTTTATACCAAAGCTACGATCGACGGACTCAAATATCACCTGTCCAAATTATATTTTGTGTGGATTCGGGTGGCAATTTATTGTTACGTTTTGTCAATGAACGGGAAATAAATTATGGCTTTCATTACAGTTGTATTCGATTGTTTTTATGCGTTACGAAAGTACGGCGTATAAAAATTTTTCCCTAGATCGACTCGATGGAAAATTTAATCCTAAGAACATACGCTACGTGCAGTTGGTATTTGTGTCCAACTTTCGTTCAGAATAGGGAACGTTAAGAAGGTAAGTATTGATTCACAAATTACCGTTCTGTTGTATCGAACTGTATTGTACGTACGAAACTCTCCACACTTTCTTCAAAAATAAATATTTTTATGTAAATAATTTGATTTTCGAGACAAGTGTTTTGAATTTTGTACAGTGCGCGTGTTCTTTCCAAAAGGGGAACATAACAGTTTGGAAATGCTGAGTGTGTGTCAAATTACTAACACGTTTGTATATGTCATATTAAATTCGCTATTGATAACGACTGTTAATATATAATCTAACTGTAAGTAATATTACATTTTTTGAAATTGATATCTGTCGTCGTAACATTTTTGAATGAAGATGATTGTTGGCACAATAATACGCTTATTTTAAATGGTAAATTCAACGCATTGAAAATTTAGTTGTAAATATAACGAGTTTGTTTTTGGTATTAAAAAAAGCAAATATTTATTCATTCTTCTTGAAATAAATATCTACTTAAAGTAATTTTAAGTTTTAATTTTATTAGTTTAAAAGAGGAATAAAGATAGTGTTGTTAAACGTTTTACGTTAAAGTAGCCAAATTCTGTGATTATATAAAAGTAGCGAATTATTTAATTTATTTTAACCAAATTTTGTAATTATTTTACTAAATGATTCTCTTCATTCACTCGCATTTCGTCGAAATTCGTCTCTCTCCTTAATGCCGAATGTTTCACACTTTTTAGATAGGAAATAATTTGAGTATTCACGATTTAGAAACGTGACTAATACGAAATTGTATCCATTGATATTTACTCGTATTAATCATAAAAGAAGTATGTGGAGATTGCATACTACACGAAGATGACAATAATAACAATCTTTTTAACGTTATAATTTTGTTAGGATTGCGGTACTTTTTGGTAGAAATAGTTTTCTATATTTTGTCAGTACTTTAAAAAGTAACCCGAGGAGAATACTGTGGATAAGATATACTCGAAAGATAGTTGCATCGCCATAGTTTCCAAAATTGTGTTTATTTTTCCCTTCGTGCGGAGTAAAATTTAAAAAGGAGAAGGGCATTTCTCGGCCGGTGATAATTCTAATTATTTGTTTCGGTGCGTGTTAATACACAATTTATATCGAGTATTTTAAGTGTAAATACGATTAATAATTCTATAAAAATCATTTATAACTTATAACGACGACAATCGGTGCAATAGATTGAATTTGCAACCGGCAATTGAAGTCGCGGGCGTATTTTAAGTCGAATAAGAAGCTTCGAAATTTTAGATGTTTACGAAAAAGCTTCTGTTAAATTAAAATTAAATACAAAACCTATCAGAAAATTAAAAACTCGGTTTTCTACAATCAAATAATCATTGGGCCGCAATTTGAAAAAATTGTAGACCTATAAATTTCCACCGTCGCTGTCCGTCCTTAATCTCGAGAACGGAGTTAGATAGACGAAAGACGGAATCAGATATGGAAACCGCAGGGGCGGGAGGCCCCGACTAACTATATAAGAACGTCCGATGCAAACCGGAAGTCACGTTATTTCAATTTACAACTTTTCTCCGAAAGGAGTTAATAGACGACCGGCACCACTCTATCGTTAAAGGAAAAGTACGGGGGCAAGCCACTGTTAATTTGAGGTGGAGGGCATATATTATAAATGCAAAATATGATTAAAACCTGCAACCCGGCACGGTGACCGCGTGGCAATAAATAATTGCCGGTTTATAATTAAATGTTCCGAACGAGAAAATTTGTATAATCGAAAGATAAAATAAAATGCTATTTTCATTTTCGTCGACTTATTTCTCCGAACAAAGTGCTAGCGCCAGAACGGGCGGATAATATTGTCGTACGAAATAAGTGTTATAGGCGGAAGAATATAGAGTTGTGTTTGTGTAGTCTGTTCGAAAATAGGTAAACACGGTATTATTTGTTTGAGTTCGTATTGTCTCGTTCGATGTTAAGGGAGAGCCGAGAAAAGCCCGTCGGGCCGGGTTCTTTTCCTTATAAACTCGTAAAAATATAAGAAGGCGTGATTTGTTTCGTTCCGTCGTTTTCCGTTAATTTTTTATTATAAAAGATCTGCCCGACGATATCGGAATGGAGTAAATACGAACCACTTAATAATTTAACAAAATTTAGTAGTCGCGTGGTATTTTCGGCTAAGAACAATAATCGGACAGTCTACCTTCCAATTATAAGCTTTGTTACGAAAATACCCTAGGACGAGGAATAAGCCACGTAATAGGTCCAGATTAATTCTTTAACCCGACCCATTGATATAACGAACGTTTAGAATTTGATGCGGGTGAAATATTTGCGGCCTTCGTTTAGAAAATGATTTACCATTTCCCGTAAGTCGGCATCTTCCGTATTACGGCCGGTCGGGCCTCCCCAATGTCAACCGGCGAACATCGTAGGGATTTTTCTATTGTTACCGGAAACAAAATGTTTTTACGTTGTTTTACGGCTAGGGAGCGTTGTTGGATACAGAAAAATGGCTAATTGATAGAATCGGAAACAAATTCGGTACGGATCGTCGGTGATAAAATGGGATTAAAGGCGAGGTGGAAAGTTTCGAAATTACACGGGCGAACACTACCATTTTGAAATTCGGTGGACCGGGAATTATTTTTTCGCCTGGCTTTTCCCGTCGAAAACGTTCGAAAAATGCCCGGCTAACGTTCCGTGGTAGTTCTATTTGCAACGTTTCGGACTTTCTTCCGTGGATTAAGGATTTTAAATTCGTTTTGCTCGATTTTCAAATTTCACTGAACTCGAAACACGAAAATGGAGGGTCCAAAAAAATATTTTTAAGCGAAATGCTTAACCGTTGCATTATTTATCATTAATTTACCGCCACTATAATCGATTGATTAATAGGACTTACGGAACCCCCGTGGAAAAAAGCGGAGATTTTATTACTCTCCGGGTTTAAAGAAAACTTCGTTTGTCCCGTGGCGGACGTTGCGCAAAGTTGCCCGGGGCATTCTACAAAATTTTGCAATTTTTGATAAAAACTTAAATGTACTGCGACATATTTACTGGTAGACAATTTCGTGCTTAGTATTTTATTCGATACAATTAATTAACCTATTCCCGGGTTCCCCACAGTAATTGATTATCGACTTTCGACATATCTTCGCCAATACTCCGAGTAAAAAGGTGTGCCAGTGGTTCCCCACCTGGTGGGAAAGACGGAGAATCGTCGCCGTAGACATAAAACCCGTGTTTTTGCACCGGAGGTTCGGTAGGTACGGTAAGTCCTATTAATAGATGACAGTAGTAGTAAACTAATAATAAATAGTAATGGGTCGTGCCGTTTCCATTAACCTGGTAATTTAACTTCGGGACGTTTATTGTGGCAGTTAGAACAATTTTAATAATATAAAGCGGACCGGTAATCAGTGCCGTAACTAGCCATTCCCGTGCCCCGTGCAAGAACTCGCATTTAGGCCCCTTAATTAATTAGGTTTGGGAAAATAATAAAACAAACACGCATTTTGGGACCCTCTTCCAAATGGGCCCTGTTGCACCTGCCTAGTTACGGCACTGCCGGTAATTATACGCTGCTACGCATTATGCGCATTTAAAACTTTCGGGCTCGTTCGGAGTTACTTTACGTAACGAAGTACAGTACGTACGCTAACTGTAGATCGCCGTTTAAACGGGGCCGGCTGGTGAAACATTGGGACGATGTCCGATTTCCCCTTCCGGTGTTTTGTCAATCTTTACCTTCGGACGCTCCGAACCAAAAAACAAAGCCATCCCCGCGGAGTATTTATTTCGTTTAACGTATCGTGGCGGGATAACCATTAAGAAACGAAATTCGGCACGGCGGCTGGTATATAAGGGGCCAGTGGCGTAGCGTAGTGGGGGCGGAAAAATTTCACAATAATAATTATATCTTGTAAAAATTTGAACCATTCTATTCTATATTTGCGTCGCGCCTACGATAGCGCTATCGTCCGGACAGTCCGGGAATCGACTCACCGTCCGGGTGAACTAGTAATTTCATCCGGGGATATCCCGCGCAACCTGTTGACTTTTTTTTTCTTTTTACTTGTACGATCCATTCGTACTCATATACACCTTCACTATCCAATAGAGTTATTTTAAACAGGTCGCTGCATTAGCACGGAATTTTTCATTACTTATTCTGTGACGAAACTGAATTTTAGTCTTTTAAATTGAGATACCTAAATAGGGGGCGAAATTTTCCTCCGCCCCGGGCGGCTGACACTCACGCTACGCCACTGTAAGGGGCACGGGCGATATTGAATTTCGGCATTAAAAGTCGGGTTCCGACTTAACCGAGATTTTTCTGGTTGCTAACATTTACGATAATTTTTTATAATATAAAACTCGTCTCTACCCTCAAAATTAAGTTTTTTGCCATTTTAAAATAAATAATAATATAAAAGTTACTTTTAACAAAATCACCTAACGGGACGAATATCGGGTGCCGAAACTTTTTTAAAGCCAATGGCGCGCGATAGCGGATCGGCCGGAACCCAGGACCGGAAGATTAAAAATATTGAATAATTAACCCAACCTTTCGTCCACCTCCCGCCCGTGGGGTGGTGGGAAAACGGCCGTAATCCTTCGCTAACACCGTTTTCGTTTAGCTTTCGCCTGGCGTAAAAGCGATTTTCGCGAGTGGAAGCGAACTTTTCGCGTTGCCTAAAGCGTCGGAGCGTTTGAAGAATTCCGGTCGATCGGACGGCCCGCAAAATATTTGCTGACGGTTCGTCGTTTCGGCGCGCATCCCGTTCGACGTAAATAAACTTTGGGAAAAGCCGGAATCGCCTGCCGCCGATCGATTACGAATGATTAATTGCCACCGTTAACTGCATTTACCGAACTTTTCGAAGCTTCCTGGACAAAATCCTTTTCTAACCCTTTCGGTCACGCCCGTTCCGCGCCTTTATAAATCCATTTTGTCTAACGAAATCTCCGTGGTTTTTCTGAATTCCGTAAGAATTTCGTCCGCGCCCTTTCTGATTAAAAAAAAAAAAAACAAATATACAAAGTAACCGTCGTTAGCCACCCACCGTAAGCAATGGCGGATTACCCAATAGGCGCGCCTTGGGCCTGGTCGTCACAAGGGTCCTCAAAAACTACGTTGCAAAAAGGTAATATGCCTCTAAGACTTTAGTAAACGTTTAAAACTTATAAAGAAAACTTGTTATTATTTGTGAACAAAATTGTGCCTAGGGCCTCAAAGGAATATAATCCGTTACTGCCTACCAGAGTAAAAAACGTGCGCGTAGAATGCGCACTGTAGGGTATAGAAATAGCGAAAATATTTAGAGGGGCCACAAAATCGAATCTTGCCTGGGGGCCTCTCGAGTGCTAAATCCGCCACTGGCCGTAAGTAAAAGGGCCTCTTTCCACCTCCGGTCCCGGAAAATGCCGGAAGTGGAAACCGGTCCGTAAATCCGGACGGGGAGGAAATTTATCCTCCCATTTGTACCCCGACCACGTTTGGCCAAATCCTCTTCCGGAACGGAATTTCGGCCGTCGAATTGCCCCTCTCTCCGTAGTCCCAACCCATGTGTCCCGGCTTTCTGTTTCTAATCCGGTCCGAAAGAGGGCGCCTCTGGTCGAAGCGCCGCATCTAGTCTTCCGTTCGTAACTATTAGAGGAATTTTTCGGTCCTACTTTTACCGCGCCACACTCCATCGGTAATTTTGAAGCCGGCAAAACTCCGTCGACCCGGGTAAAATTTATTAACCCCTGGTTCGTTCCACTTAAAACCAGCACTTTTTAACGTAACGGAGAGTATTTAATTGCGTGTGCGGAATGCGTAGAGTGGAAAAAGGAAGAAAGGTGATTGTCACCGTTATCGAACGCATCGGATAACCGGGACAATCTTCCTTCTTTTTAATATTCGCCCGACGAAAATGCGATCTGTGACGGTGCGGCTACCTCGTACAATAGTTTGGGAGTCGTTCCGAGACGCGGCATCCGGTATCCAACGCGTTCCTGCGTCTTCGTCGACTCGAAAACAAACAATAATTTCACTCCGCACATTTTCCCCTTTGATTTTCCTTGTCCTATTTAACTCGTTTTATTTTCCATCGCTCCGTTCAGAAAATTCTCCGCCAGAAAAGTTTACTTCCTTTCCTTTCCCACCCCCCTGCAATTTATAAGTTTCCCTAGCCTAGTGGCGTATTCGAGTATTTTATTTTTTTTGTACGGGTGGAATTCTAGAAAATTATCCTTCGAGGTATTGCGCCTAACACAGTAAAACAAATAACACAGAAAATGTAAATAACAACGGATGACGCTTTGTTTGGACGCGGTTATTGTCACTTAAGTCTAAACGCGAGACGTGATCGGGTCCTTTCTGGCCACCCGCGGACGAAGGGGTGACGCGGGACCGGCTCCTTCCTCCGGAACTCCTCCGACGTATTTCTGCCGGTTCCGGTTTCGTTTATTAACGAAATATTATTTGAAGTGTTACGGTGACGAACGGAAATTCTATCCTCTTCCAAATACGTTTATAAGTAGATCGCGCGGCTTTTCTAGACCAAGACCGAATCGTACGGTTTCTAAAATCCCTTTCGAGTCGCGTATCCCAAAACCCGGGGAGAAAAATATAAATTCGTCTTCGACCCCGCGTAAATTTGCCAGATTTTCCAATTTATTGGCGGAGTTACGTGTCCTACGCTTTCTGTTACGCAAAATTACTGGTATAATTATAAATTGCCGACGTCGTGCGGATAATTAGCCACTAAAATCTAATAGAGTGGTCGGAGTTTGCGGCGCAAAAAAGACATCTCGGCTCGGAGGTGTCGTGCCCTAACCTTCGTCGGATGGCCCAAATATCCGTAGGAAACACCCGAAGAAGACAATTGCACTCTTCTTTTTTCTGCGCTGCTTAATTATAGACGGATCGAGGCAAGTTTTTCTGTATCGAATGAGTTCGATGTCTACCGGAATTCTTTCTCCGAGATTCTCGCCCGGTTAATAATAGACGAACGTCGAAAAGAACACGTAAACGACAAACGTCGTCGTTGTTGTTGGCTGCGTACGGGAGAACTTTTTCGTCCCGTCCGACCCTTTCGGGTCCCGCTTTTCCGCAAATCGCGTAATCGGTAATTTTCGTATCGGAGCGCCGTGCTTTTTACCTTCCCGTTTACATAATCGATACAAATCTGTTTATTGATTCGCCGGAATATTTACACGTTAAACGCCAACGACACGTACGTTTGTAATTTCCACGGGCGCAGGCGCGTGGGGTGTCGATCTCGCCACCGAGATTACCACTTCCGGGTGACCGACGGATTTCCGTCTGTTCTTCGCCCTTCGCCGACGGGAAGGACGAGACCTCCGGATGGCGAAGGAAAAAAGAGCTGGGTCGAGCCAATTTTCGGCTCTCGGAGGGGTTCCGCGCGCCGGAAGCCGAGGGACCGGGTTCGAATTTCCCGGGCAAAAAGGTAAATAAACGGAAGCGGCGACCGCACCGTCGTTTCCGTCTTGATCTTAGACGGAGCGGCGCGGCGGCGGGCGCCGACGGAAGGAGAGGGTGGGCGCCGTTCCGAATCGATTACGCCGGGCTTTATGTAAAACGACGCTAACGGAAGCGTTTAAAGAGCCGGTTTCAATCGAGGCAGCGGACATCCGGCCGGGGAGCCTACGCCCACCGACTCCGACCCGGATGCGACACCCACCCTCTGCTCGGCGGTGGCGCCGCGCGCTGGCCGTCCGACAGAAGGCCGGGCCCGCCGACCCGGCGCGCGGGCCCACCTTTCTTCGGCCGCGCGGACAAGATGCGTTTTTGAAAGTCCAAGTGGCGGAAACGAAGCTCGCGCTCTACTTCTCCGTCTCGCCTAAATTGCGATGACCTTAATTGGTATCATCGCCGCTTCCTCCGGCGATACTGACCTTGATGCGTTCCGAAGCCGCGGCTCCGTCCGCGGCGCGCCGGCGCGACCGCCACCGCCGGTCGTTCTCCCACCCACCGGCGTGCCCGATTTTCTCTTTCCCCCGGGTCTTTGGCTCCCGTCCGTCGACTTTCCTCGCGCGCCGAGAGAAATTTTTTCCCGAAATTTCTCTCGGCCCGCCTCTACCCCTCGTCCGCCGCACCGTCTCTGGAGTCGGCCCGCGTACGCCGAACCGCGCGGCCCGAACCCTCTCCGGAACGGTCCGCCGAATTAGCGGGGTTTTCGCCCTAAAACCGGGCCGGCGAAACTCGCGCGCGCGGAAAGTAGAGGTCGAGTTCCCGGTAAGAGTGGCATTTTGACGTCACCGTCGCGCGCTGATTCCCGTTCACCGACGTCACCGTTAGCACGTGCTCCGAGCGGTAGCCAATGAGAGACGACCAGTTTCTAAAGACCAGGAGACTGGCGAAGGCACGTGCTAGAATGGACTCGGAGCCGCGACTGTCAAAGGTCTATTTGTTCGTCTGACTGCGACAAATGCGCCAGCGCTGGTTTCTCCCCGGCATCGAAGCTCCCGGGATTCTCGCTCCGTAAGTATTTCGGCGCTGCAACCGCCGCGCGTCGCCGTCGGCCGTCCGGCGGGCGCCGCTCTTCCCTTCCCGGAAAGCGCCGTCCGCTTTCTGCGCAGTTATCGGGCTCGGCGCCGGGCCGAGCGCGCGCCGGAGCGGGATAGATCGGCGCCGTCGGTCGAACGAACTTGGGCGTTCACCTTGTCGTCGCCTGGCATTGAAATCAACGGTGCTTGGCGCCGTTCCGCTCGCTCGCGCGCCGTTGCCGGAGAAAAACGCTGGAAACAATTTGGGTTGCACAGTGGCTAGAAATGTGGGACGAGCGCTCTAGGTCAGTCGACGTCTTCTGCCTGCCGCTTTTTCGTCCTGCCTGGACGCCGCGCCGCGGTCTCCGTCGCGCGCGTCCTCTTCGTATCTGTGTCACCGGCGGTGCGTCGTCCCGAGGTCGACACACTCGTCCCGGGTCCTCTTTCGGATCCGGGACTCTCGCCTCCGTGGTCGCGCCGCGCCGCGCCGGCGCAGGACGGAATTTGGAACGTCGGGCCGACGACGCGCGGTTCGTACCTTGAACTTGGCCGACCGGTTTCGAATTAACAGCCGTCTGTTTAAAGGTAATTCGTCTCCCGTTTCCTCGCGTTTCTATCGTTCGAACTGACCGACGCCGTGGCGCGCCGCGCCGAGCGTCTGTCTTCTTCGGAAGTAGATTGGCGGCCGGAAGGGAAAATGCCCTCTGTCGGCGGGCCCGCCAACGACCGGCGCGGGAAGGCCCGGGGCCCTTCCCGCGGCGGACGAGGAAGCGAATTTGGGCCAACAACCCGCGGTGCGACGAACCGCAATTGTCACACGATCTCTGGATGTCGGCGTACTTTCGGGAGCGACGGGGAAACGTCCGATTTTAATTAGTTATTCCGCGATTCGAGCGCCAACCTCGCTTCCAAGTTTATAAACACGCTCAGGTTGAACGACCCCCGCGACGGTTGTGTGGAAGGTCCTTGACACGGATCTTGGCCCACCGAGAGGCCTCCGACGGCGGTGACGTGCTCTGACGTCACACTCGCCTACCGAAGAAACTTCGACTTCCCCTCGGCCGCTTTTTTCCGTTTCTCGTAAAGGCGTTTCTCCCACTTGGACCTTAACTGGCGCATCCGCCAGCAGATGCGCGCGCGATTTTGGATCTTTGCCGACCGGAAACGGAAGGCCCGTTCCGCCCGAGGAGTCGCCGAGTAAAAGGTCTGTTGGCGCTGGTTAAATCGCTAATCAGAAGAGGGAAGAGGCCCGCGCGTGCGACGGGAGACGAATTAAACCTCGACTCGGGTAACGAAGATTTCTTGCTTCTCGCGCGCGGGCGAAAGCAATAACTGGAGGGGCCAGCGGTTTGCGTTGTCGGGCCTGACGCTCCGGACACTTTTTCGCCGGTGGCCAGCGCGCGCGCGCGTAAGAAAAGCGCGACGTAATCCAATAGATGCGGAGCGAGCGATTGAGGAAATGGTGACGTTAACGTCCCTCTGTCCGGTTTGCCCGGACCGGGGTGAATTAACGGCACAGATTGAACATCCTTTAGTTTTAAACTTCCCCATCGGGACGGCTTCCGGTTTGGATAAATTAATTGCAGAGGCAGACATCCTGTTTCTCTCCCGGCGCAGTAGTAGCGTCGGATCGTCCGGGTGGCGGGAAGAGCGACAATGGAAATCCGGTGCGCGAGACGGACGCCCACCGCGCGCGATGCGAATGTTGCGTTGCGTGCTGCGTGGCCCGTCGCGGCGCGGGGGCGGGCGGGCCGCTTTTCTCGGGGGTGTAATTGGCCGAGCGGGGCGGCCGTCCCGCTCTTCACACGAAAGAGAAGTCGTAATGGAGGCGAAATGAGCCATTTCCGGGAATAGCCGCATTACGGCCAATTAAACGGGGGTGAGCGAGTTAAAGGGTTGGGGCCTTCTTCCGTCACCGACGGCAATTAAACTATTGACGGCGAAGGACGACATCTTGTTTAGAGGTTCGGACGTGTTTTGCAACTCGACAGTTACGACGGCGGCCAGATAGCGCTACTTGTCGTCGCTCTCAAAGCGCCGTTTGTTTGGCTCTTTTTCTCTCCTCCCGCCATTGGCCGCTTTGCATAACACTGTAAATAGACACACTCGACCTCCGTTCGCCGTTTATCCCCGCAACTCCCGTTTTAATTTTGCTTTCTTATCTTCCAGATAATCCCAGACGACGCGCCTCCCGCCCATGGAACGCCTCTGACTTCAAACGGTAAGAACCTTTTGCTCTTCTGTCTCCGCAACCTGCCGTGGGGGTGTCGTATCTCCCCGCCTTCTCCACTTCCGGCGCTCGGCGGGCCGCGACGGAAGAAAACACAAACCGGATGCGACAGATGACGGAGCGGCGGTTGCGAAACCGCGCGCCGTAAATATTTTCTCCGCTACTTTTGCGAAAGGCGAACGATCGAGTTTTTCCGCCAAGAGGCGGCGCCTCCTCCCCTCCACATCCGATTTTGCCCGAGTGACCCGGCCGTGACCCGGATGCGAAGAAGAGCGGTCGGGCGCCGGGCGGTCGCTTCGTCCCTCTGGCCGCCACGCGACGTCCCCGCCGAATGGCGGCCGACGAAAGACGGTGCGACTCTCTTACTTTTCTTTTCTGTTTCGGAGTCGGTGGCTCCAACTAAGACCGAGAGTTTCGAAAATGTGCTAATTGGCCCCCTGTGCCGTCTAAATTCGAGTTTCATCCGGATCTCGGCCCGATTCGAAGAAAAGACGACGAGAATCGAAGCTCCGGAGCCGAGGTTAGTCGAGGCGAGAGGAGGGTGCCCGAAGCTGTTTCGTGGATCGGATGACCTCGAAGGTCGCGATAACTATTTCCTCTTCCGGCTCGGCGTAACGCGCGCTGGGTCGAGTCGACCTTCGAGCGCGGGACGAGTCGCGGCGCCTTGTGACCCGCCAACTCTAGCGCTTCCGGCTGCCGAGAGCCGAGTGCCGCTGGGAATCGGGCTGCGGGCCGCCGGGGAAAGAGTATGAGAAGCCAGGTTTTGCCGGCGGGAATGTGGGTCAGCGGTGATTTCCGGTGGTGGAAAGAATTTCCGCGCGGCGCCGGATGTGCCCGTACATCTGTTATCGACGAGAGTATTTACATATAATGCGGATATATAGAAACGGCGGCGCGAAGGTCTTCCTGTAACTGAATTTAATCCCCGATTCTATTTACCGGACACGCGTTACGACTTCCCGTCGATCGATGAATGTCCCATCCGGAGTGCTAAATTCGTCTCCGCTTTCATTTTCAGGTATGGAGACCAACATCACCCTGTGGCAGTTTCTGCTGGAGCTTCTGCTCAGCAACCAGTACAATCACATCATCACGTGGACCAACAGCGAAGGAGAGTTCAAGCTGATCAACGCCGAGGAAGTGGCCCGGTTGTGGGGCCTGAGAAAGAACAAGCTCAACATGAACTACGACAAACTGAGTCGCGCCCTCAGGTATTACTACGACAAAAACATTATCAAGAAGGTCTTGGGACAGAAGTTCGTCTACCGATTCGTCAGCTTTCCGGAAATCGTCAAAATGGAAAACAAGATCCCCTTCCACGTCAAAATGGAGAGCATCAGCAAGACGGGAGGGGTCTATCAGCGAACGCATCCCGGTGACGCTTTCGTTCTGACTCGACAGCCCCTGGCTTCGCCCGAAACGCCCACCGCGGACGACAAGGGTTCTCCGGAATCCCCGCTCAAGAGCAGAGAGCTCAAGAGGGCGCTGGCGGACGACGAATCGCTTCCCGCCAGTCCCACTTCCACTTGCAGTTCCAGCAAGCGCCCCAAGACGGACGGCGACAGCGATTCCTGCCCCTCTCCGGCTCCCTCCGTCTCGTCTTCGGGCTCCAAATCCAAGTGCAAACCTCCTCCCCTGTCGTCGGTCGGGTCCTCTTCCCTTCTGGGCCCCACCTCTTCCTCCTCGGTCTTTCCTCCTTCTCTTCAGACGCCCATCGTCACCTTCGCCAGCCCCTTCCTGGGCCAGAACAAGACCCCCATCATGACTCTGCCGTTGTGGAATCCGTTCGGACTGCGCAGTCCACGTTTCTCCGCCGGCCACTTCCAGTTTCCGTCTCCCTGTCCGGAGCTGGGCTTCGCGCCCTATCTGGGTCCCCCCTTCTCGCCTTTCGCCCCGCAGCTGCTGCTGTCGCCCACCAAGTCCATCCCGGTGCTGGAGTAAGGGAGCGGGAGGACTCACGACGGTAGAAGACGTCTCCTTCTACGTAAATCCACCAAAGGACCGTCCCGAGTCGGGATATAAACACCAGTCTTCCGTACTTGGCTCCACTCTTCCATCTATTCGGACACGTCGTAACGATGGCATTTTCCAAAGAGTTATTATCGAATATAGGCACACGTAGAGTGTTTTGTATACATAATTAGTGTATATAGTTCTTAGATATATATTAGAGAATATAGGACAACCTCGGTGGAACCACCTCCTTCCACTCCGCTCAATATGTGGTTTGACCACGTGCCAAGCGGTCGTCCCGATCGCTCGTTCTGTATCGATTCAAATCTTAGTATATTTTTTGTACAGCAATAAAATGATTCTACCATTTACCATACTCCGGACTCTTTCTTTATCTCCTTGCGCGCGCCCGAGGCGAAACTCGCTTTTTCGTTGTAAAAGTAAATAAATCAAACGGGTTATCGGGGTGAAAGGTGGCCTAACCCGTAAATGTTCCGTCTTTCTGGCGGATACGCGTCGGTAGAACATTAAACCCTTCGTTAATAAACTTTTGCAAATTACAAAGACGAACACGAACCGGTTAAAATAGCAATTCGGAATGACGAAATCTGATATTTTCGGCCAGGAACTTCGCGGTTATCCACAAAATTGCGTTCGTGTAGTGTTTTATTTTTTTCCTTTCTGACCGTCGAGTGGCGCCGTCGCCTCTCGGAAATCCGGTACCGAACCGGATTAGGAAGACTCGGCCTCCCTTAACCGGAAACGCCGGTCCCGGAACCGACGGATCTTCCCCCTCCGTTTACCAGGAAAAAAATTAACATTTCCACGTCACACCGGTTACTTCCGCGGTTAATTTTATGCAAAAAGCGACACCGAACGTAGGTAATGCAGTTTTTAATCGTCGTATCGTACGAATAATTGGTGTCGCCGCTGGGAGGCACCTGTCAAAGACAACCCGGCCGGGACCTCCCATCTCCAACAGGTGCTTTCCTTCTCTACCTTCCTTATTCCGTCCTTCCTTTCTTCCACGGTGACCGCCGCTTCCTAAAACCTAACTGCCCCCTCTCCGAGTTTACATAAATCGTAAACGTTGCTAAACATCGTTATCGGATCCTTCTCCGCTTCCGTTACCGAGTTTACGTAACGGGCGAGAAGCGGTGACGTCGGAGGCTTAATGGCGCGGACGTCACCGCCGGCCACCGACGATCCCGGATGGAAATGGTCTATTTAGAGGGGGGGACGTTTGACGTCGCATCCGCTAACAGAGCACGGTCCCGGTAACCACCGGATGGCAGACGTCGAAGGATTAGCGGTGGTCTCTCTTCTAATACTTCTACCCTTATCTTCGCGCGATTACGGAATTAATTCTAAGAAAACTAGTCCAAATTCTACTCGTCACTTCCGGTACTACGCCGGCCTCTGCCATCGTCCGATTGGTCGGACGATCGATTACGTGTGACTAATTACGCGACTTAATTATTCCGAGTGCGGTGTGGCCCGGGCGACGACGTAATTGCATTTTCCGTCCGTTTATTGGTGGCTACATCCTTAACGCTAATCTATTCGCGGACACGTAAAAATAATCGAATATTTACATTGGTGGTCGATGACGCAATGGCAATACTCGTAAGAAAAGTGTTTTTCGTTTCGAAATTGAAAATAAGAGGGAATTATCTGGCTTTACTATCGCTCGCCCTCTAATAATAATAATCTATGTTAAATACGAAAAGTCAATACACCTGTCGCAATAGAGTTTTTTAATTTAAAAACGATTTTTATTGGTCCGAAATGATAATTAGAGATAAATTGGCCAGTGACGACATTTATTGAAGTAGAGAAACGTTTAAAGAACACTTCCTAAGGTCGAACTGGATATTGAATTGACCTTTTTTGAATTTCCACTTTTGCGCGGAGTTGTTTAAACGACGGCGCAGAGGAAGCGAATAATTATTATTTGTTTAGATAGTTATTTATCAAATTTGCGATAATAATTGGCCGTTACCTCGAGGTTTAAATACTACTTATTAATTGTTCGGCGCCGTTTTACTGGCAAAATTTTCCCGAAGTATCCGTAAGGTGGCGGGCTTCCGCGCCCCTAAAATATACCCCGGTCACGTGGCCGCCACGTAGGCCCAGTTTTATTTTAATTATTGGCCGGGACGACTAGGTGCGGTGGTGGCTCCCACCCTTTCCAATCGCTTTATCGCAATCCTCTGGAAATAAATGGATATTTACGGAGTCGCTTTTGGATCTTCTGTATTATATTTATAAGCGTTAGCTTACGTTATCCAACGTAAGCTCTTTCCACCCGCGGAGACGAAAGGGTCCAAATCTTCGTCGACGGGAAGAAGTAAAGATTCGCATCGTATCTGCTTATATAAATGTAACCGTAAATATATTTTGGAATTTCGATTGTCGGAGACCCGATACAAACATTCGTTCTATTGTCGTTTCGCATCTCCGCCCGAAACGTCCGGGGGAAATCGAACCCACCGGTGTTCGAATTTAAAAGAAGGAATGGGACTGGGAGAAGACGAATTTCGTTTAAATTGCGCACGGATTGCGTTACTGTCGTTGCGCGTTTTATAAAATACTAATTTCCTATCGCGTAAGAATTTTCCCGGTGCCACCTCTTTACGAATCGCCGAATTCCGTATCGTAATTCGAGAAATTAAATTACTCGACACGATTTTCGATAAGAAGATATATAATTAGTCCAAGCGGCGTGGCGCGTGGCCGACTAGGAGCCATCGCGCGACCTTTTCGTTTTTAAATTATACCAGCGCTAAGGTGGCTTTTCTTTTCGGCTAGACTTTTATTACTGGACTAGCTTTTATTTCTTCGAGTACGCATTTCGGACAATTACGTCCCTTTTCGACTCTCGTGTTACAACTATATAGGGAAAATTACATACAGGTTAGCATAAATTTATTGTAACGTTGTAAAAGATGGCGATGTTTTGTTTTTGTTTGGTGGGGACCGAAAGAGTTAACTTTATTGGTAAATAAGTACATAAAAACCCAACAAGTAGGGAATCGAATACGTGGCGTTTCGCCATTCCCTTTGCGTTATTCTGTGGCCAAACGAGAAGTATAATTTATTTGTTAAGTTTTCGGCGCGACTTTAAAATGGAAGCGAAAAATGGCCGTTTCTTCTGCCGGCCTATGAGGATTTCCTCATAAACATTAAGTACCGAATATTGATGAGGTTATTTTAAATACGATCAGGGTCGACGCTATCGAAAAAACACTACCGACGCGGCGCAAAAACTATATTTTATACGCGTAACGGGAATAAGGCATTTAGAAAAGACAGTTACGCTCGAGACGACTCCCGCGTAATGTGGGCAAATTGTATACTCGGCGCGCGTTGCTAGAAGGTTACGGGCGCGCAAAAACGTATTCTTTCTCGGCTCTTTCTTCCACCGACGAGCCGCGGGCGAGAAGCGATGGCGCGCCGAGATTAAAGACGTATTAATACTCGGATACGCCCGGGGTTAACGAAAAACTAAACAAGAAACGGTCTCGCCTACGTAATTTTTGTTTTTCCTTCTTTTGTTGAGCTTTCACTCGGAAATTTCGCTCTAAATGATTACCCAGCGATTATCTGCGATTTTAATCTCCCGTTTTACAGTTGGAGGTCTTTGACAAACGGGAATTTACATACGACCTAGTCTACACCTACGGAAAGTCGAAAGAAGAAATTTGCGTAGAAGGAGATCCAACTAGTCGAAATCGGAAGAAGAATCGTCCCGGTGTTTGGTAATTAGACGGATGGCCGGACGAAATTAAAACTTCGTCTAAGAATTTCTCTAGCCTGGAAGTTTTCCTTCTTACGTCTTCATTTCCGTTAATTCTCGGACGTTGTCTACGACTATAAAACGGTTCGAGTACGGATCTACCTCCATTAAACACGAAAGACGTAATGTTTGGCGGAGATAGCCGTAATTTCCATCTTTCTTTTATTCCGCTCCAAGCGTCCAACGATCCAGGAAAATTGTCTTACTTAATTTGAATTTTGAGTCGGGCAAATAAGAAATAATTCCATTCGTAAATTTAGAAATTGCCGCCGTCGAAAATTCGACTCTTCTCGGTGTAAAATGGCGCGTGATCCTAAACAGTTTGCAAACTTAAACTCTAAATATCGATACGAGCGGAAATCGCTTCCTTTACTAAATCTCGGGTGTCGAAAGTAACGGCGTAACGGCCACGACTCTCGTACCGACGTCCGACAACGATTTAAAAACTTTATAATTCGAATTTTCGGAACGAATCCTATTGACGCGCGTAACCGGATCGACGTTACGCTTTGCCGAGAGCGTTTTAATCGGAGACGGCGGTTACGTATTGTTTTGCGACGATAAGTCGTAACTCGATATCCTTTTTCTGATTCCGGATCCGTTACGCCACGCGCTCGAAAGTAGGGTTTTCGTCGACGGATTCGGAGCATTCGTCTGGATGTAAGGACGTAAAGCGGACAATAAAAGTGTTGTTTCGCTCTATCGCCGGCGTGCTCAAACGGATCTCCGTTTCGTACCCTAACAATGTCTGGACGAGACGCCCTACACCCGCCATCGTCCCGCAGTTTACGTTTCTATTAACCTACCCGTTTACGGCGTAAACCGCCTTTTCTCGCTTCCTCTTACCGGCCACAAACCCAAATTATACAAAATTTCCTTTCCGTTAAGGATTTTACTGCCGGTGGCGTGAGGGGGGAGAGAGAAAGAGGGTGGGTACCGGCGGGGAGCCGGGCCAGTTACGCGTAACTCGTATTTTGTTACGATTTATCCCGTCGGCGGGAAGCGTTATCGGAAACGGCCCGAGGGTATTTCGAGTAGTTAATGCCCGGCGCGTACGGCAATTAATCGGGTTGTTGCACTCGGTGGCACGATACGGGGAAACGTGGCGAAGTGAGAAGTGGAAGCAGCGATTTGTGTCGTCGAAATTTACTTTGTCCTTGGAAAAAGGTCGAATTACGCCTCGGAAGGAGGAAAACGGAGGATTTTCCTCCGCCCGAAGAGGAAGAACCTTTCGATGTCGGAATCGCGGTGCGGGGTTTTCGTTCGCGGTCGGTCGTTTCCATAACGATAAAGGTTGGAAGAAACGCACGCGTAGAGGAAAGTCGCCATTGAATTTCTATCATTGTTTGACCTAGAATTTCCGGTGAACGATCTGCTTGTCCTAGAATCCCAATAACGGAGCTTACGACGTGTGACGAAAGTCCAAGTGTTTCCCTCCCCCTTCGATACGGCCGTCGAGCGAGAAGTGAAAGAGCGACTTTTATCCTCGTCCGGAATTTCTTTCTCCGTCCGAATTCCCTAATCCAGTGCGTGTTTGGCGCCAAAATCCCTCCCTCCTCTACGGTATTAAATTAATA